TCCTCGAGAGCCTGACGAAGCTGATCTTCGGTATATTGAGGCATTATATATAGAAGAAGACATGTGCAAAAGATGAGCCCATTTGGACGCGAATTGAAAATGTTGTGATAAAAGGAGGTTGGGGGTGGGCATTGGGTTGTGGTGGATTTTCGCGTTTTTGTGGGTGCCAGAAACAAGGGGGGTGCCAGGAAGTGGGTATGTTGACTTACTTCCAACAGAAACTTTATCCCTCTTTGAATCTACTGCCACAACAACAAGCTCTCCTGGCTCATCAGCAAGCTTTCTTCCAAACTCCCTATCAAGCGGCGGTACGAGTAGTACCGATGTACCCACTTCAGTGACAACCCCGGGCCAGTCAAGCGTACCTCCTTTCGCATCTATATCTGACACCCTCTCTTCATCTGGAAGCACAAGCTTGTCGTTTTCAGCCACCACAGAGACACCTATTGACACGAGGGTCTCTTCAGCTGCTATAGAAACCTCCTCGATTATCTTGCCCGCCGGCTCGAGTTCTTTGGCCTCCTCTGCTATAGACATTGCAAGTAACACGGCGGCTTTGTCTTCTTCTGCTTCACTCAGCGTAGTAGAGTCACAGACCTCAACGTTGACGGAAACTACAGCCGGCTCATCGGCCAGCTCCAAGCTTTCAACTCAATCTGAGTCTTCGATCAGCTCCATCAGCACCGAACTTTCTACGCCTTCTGATCCAACGATCTCATCCTCGGAACTTCTCAACATTCTAAGTACCCTGTCATCGAGCGCAGTATCACCTTCCACTATTGGTCCTTCATCCTCGGGCGTGTTCACCTCTGCTGAAGCAGATCCGACAACCTCAACGATTGACACCGTTTCTGCCGACTCAACATTTCAGGACGCGACCTTGACCTCAACCTCTGTAATCTCGCCTAGCTCTACCCTCTCCTCGTCCAATCTAAGCAGGAATTTAGACTCCAGTAGTCTCTCTGCTTCAGCCACACTATCTGAACCTAGCTTGGTGACCCCAACGGCAACCTTTGTGACATCTGTGGTTGTATTCACAGGGACTGAATCCCTTACGGGCACCGGCCTGGTCCCTCTCACTACCATTTATCCAAGCAATGGCGACGCACCGACTGTGTTATTTGGTGCGGCTAGGAGACTCTTTGCTTCCGTTGCTGTGCCGTACTCTGGTACAGGGATCATTACCGGACCTCAGCAAGTGAGCATCGTGCTGCCAAGCGGCTCAGACTCACTAGTGCTGGGGACGATTATCTACGCAACACCAGATCCTCTGGTCACGTCCGAGGTAGACTACACTGGAACAGGCACCCTCACTTCGCCTCTGCCATTGACCACTATCTACCAGTCCGGCACAGTCCCTGGAACCATCGTTTTGGCGAGGCCAGCTATCTTTGGTACAGTTGGAACCAGTTCTGCTGTCGTTTCCAGTGCTTCGAGCGAGTCGTCCTCCCCTGTTGTGTTAAGCACGACATTGCAGTCTACGAGCTCGGTTGAAAGCATTTCATCACTGAAAACTAGCTCTTTTCCCACATTCATTTCTCCTCTAGGCTCTGCCTCGACTTTTGTTTCCTCTGAAAGCTCTTCGGGATCGAGTGATGATTCCAAGCCTATCGCCTCAAGCTTGCCTACTGTTCTAGCTGAATCCAGCACATTGAGCGAATCACAGCGAGGATCAAGCAGCCTCGTAGCGGTTTCCCCATCAACTTCATCTGATAGTTACAGCTCGATGTTCGGCGATCTGAGCTCTTCCACAATCATTTCGACTTTTCCGGTTGATTCTATTTCAACCCCAGAGTTGCCAACTTTTACCGCAACATCAACGGAGGGCAGCCTACCAACTAGCGTCAGCATTGTTCCGGCGTTTCTAGGCACATCTTCGAGCTTGACAGACGATCCAATTGTCTCGACTTTCACAAGCGATAGTCTTGTTTTCTCAAGCCGGACACCAACATCAACTGATTTAGGAACCACTGCAGTCCAGGCAACCATATCGCAATCATTTGGAACAAGCATTGGTGTGTCTTCTTCCAGCACTGTTGAGTCGAGCGACTTGACAGCTTCGTCTCTCTTGGTAGCGTCTTCAGCTGCGTCCTCTTCTGATTTCAGTTCAGCCACTGAAACTTCTTCTGTCAATTTCACGGCTTCCATCGAGTTTCCTTCGTCTGTGAATAGTGGCTTTTCATCCGAAGGTACCATTCCAACGGTTTCCTTCATCTCCGATCAGACCTTGGTCTCTAGCTCAGCTCCACCAGCATCTGCCTTCTACGACAGCGTTCAGATACCCTTCACAGGCACTGATCAGTTGCCTACTCCGATCCCCATCAGCACAGTGCCTCCGAGCGGAAGCGTCCGCGGAACTATCGCTTACGCCGCTCAGTTCCTCACTTCAACAGTATCAGGTACTGGTCAGTCCACAGTCACCCTCCTCACAATCCAGCCTTCTGGAACACAGGCTGTTGGGCTGGTAGTCATTGCAGTTCCTACTTTGCTAGTGTCGTCAACGGCGTCTTCTGTTCCATCTGATAATGGAGGAACGTCTACCAGTGAGATCAGCTCTGATCCATCAGCGACTTCGTCCGCAACTTCGGTAACTGCGGCATCTTCCGTAGCTGAGTCGAACTCCATCAGCTTGAGCGGAAGCACCAGCAGCACTGGAACTCTCGAACTAAGCACAATTTTTGAGTCAAGTAGCGTGACGACGACGTCCAGCGAAGTCGAAAGCACAAGCACCATTAATCCCGAAGCAATAAGCACAGCCTTCGCTTCTCTGCTTACCACCACCGATTCGAACTCCTTAAGTGACGTTGCTTCGACATCTGATATTGGCAATCTTCAGAGCAGCAGTACCTCCCTTGAGGCCCTTGGTACCGACACAAGCGCAGTGACTTCGAGGACCATCGGGTCAGAAGCCAGCAGCTCCACTTCCATCGATGCGACCTCAACTGAAGCTAGCTTCTCGATCTCTCCCACTGTCTCGAACCTGTTTAGTGAGTCGCTCATCACGACAGCAAGAGCTGAATCCAGCAACAGCATCCCAACGACTAGCAGCACAAGCGACTTTGAGACAACTTCCACAACGCTTGTTTCTCTGATATCTACCATCGATCTTAGCTCCACGTCTGGCTCGTCCAATACAGCAGATGTCACTACCTCAGCGTCCAGCGCCTCACTTACGGTAACCACCAGTTTGACCACAAATACTGAGATTTCTTCGGCAGCTTCTTCCAGTCTTGTTTCCGAGACAGCCAGTATCTCTCTTGAGATTACTACCTCCACTAGTGATACTCCAAATACATCAGAGAGCTCGCTAGTAGATGGTTCCTCTTCTCTCCTGTCTATAGGCACTGGTACGATTGCCTCCTTTTCTTCGGATTCTACAAGCAGCGATATCACACCAACTACTTCAATTCCTTCCGAGACTTCCCAATTCTCGACCACGTCAACATCAGCGGATGCTGCTTCTTACGTCACCTCGCAACTCATTTATACCGGCCCATCTTCACTATCTGAGCTTCTCCCATTGAGCACTATCCAGCCAACGAACGGATCTCCAGGCACCGTTATCTTGGCTATTCCAGCATCTTTCTATGTCACTTCGACTTTGATCTACACCGAAGGCGACTCCTACATCATTCCGTCTGCCATTAGTACAGTTGCGCCTTCCGGAACAGCTAAAGGCACCGTCATCTTCGCCGCTCGCTACGCAGTGGTTAGAGTTGCGTACTCGGGCACTTCAATCATCACGGAACCTATCCCCATCGCCACATACCCGGGCAGCGGAACAGTCCCTGGTACCGTTGTCTATGCTAATCCTCCATCAACCTCAGCAACATCAGAGCCATCTTCTGCTACCTCAACATCTACAGACTCTCTTGACGCGTTCGATCGTTCAGCCACCTCGACTTCGTCAACTTCTTACGGCGTGGGGATCCCTTCTACATCGTCCAGTAGCTCACTCCTGTCTACTGTGTCTTCCTTATTGGAGGGTTTTACCGGATCGTCGACTTCTTCGAGTGACACATTCACAGTAAACCCTGACACACTACTACTAAGTTCTACCCCTCTATCGACGACAGATGAGCCAACAATGACAAGCGGCTTATCTTCTGAGATCTCTTCATCAACATCAACATCATCATTATCATCAAGTGATTTCACAGGCCCCGTAGCTTCTTCAACTTCGTTCACAACTAGCTTAGATGGTCAAGAGACATCATCTGCCAGTGCATCATCGGGCGAAGAGTCAAGCACTTTGGTCACTGAATTCACCCCAACATCAATCCCTCCATCATCTCTGTTGTCTTCAAGCTCCTTGGAAACTATTGGTCTCGATACCTTGTCGCCTACCAGTACATCTAGCAGTACTTTACCTGGCGTGGAAAGCAGCACATCGGTTATCTCAGAAAGCGACTCTGCTCTTCTCAGTCCAACGTCCTCATTGGACTCAGAGTCTACAACGAGCAGTAATTCACAATCGCCATCGGCTACGTCTACTCCTAGCCCAGCTACCACTATCATATCGACAAGCGATTCGGCAAATGAAACCTTGACCAGCTCCTCGGCGGCAGTTTCGTCATTAATCTCAAGTACAGCAACGACGCTTGAGCCTGACACCCTAATTTCACGCTCAGCCAATCCTTCCTCTAGTGGAACTTTTACTTCAACGAGCATCTCAGCTTCAGGCCCGAGCCCATCATTTATATCGATTTCTTCTCAAGATTTATCCTCATCCTTAAGCACTCAGAATACAGTAGATATCAACACCTTACTGTCTACGTCTATCGTATCTGCAATTACGGCCACAGAGACAAGTTCCTCAACATTGGAATTGACCAGCTCATCAGGGGTTTCATCTGCATCAAGCTCAACTGCTACGTCTGATCCGTTATCGTCCATCACCAGCACCGCGTCCTCGTCAGCTGCGGACTCTTCAAGTACCCTGAGTAGTGAGAGCTCTGATTTCATCACTTCGAATTCAAGTGTTACCGTCAATCTTAATACGCTAGCTTCCTCAACTACCCTCCCAACAAGAGAGGATATCAGTTCCTCGACCTCCAACGGAGCAGATTCATTGACACCAACCCCAACATCGACCTTGCCGCAGTCAACTTCAATCAGTCTAACGCTGGAAATCACAGCCACTACGTCTGAGAGCTCTTTGACTGACTCTTCGTCTTCGAGTGTGACGGTTGATCCGAACAGTCTGCTGTCTACATCATCAAGCCCATCTACAGAGCAAGGCTCGAGTTCCACGGATATACTTGAATCGTCCTCGTTAATTCCACAGTCGTCTGCGGAAGTAAATTCATCTACACCTTTGGACGTTTTGGACACTTCTTCTGGTTCTCCCACCAGTTCCAGTACCATTACTGCGACTTCCGTCAGCTCAACATCAAATGTTGCCTCCTCCTCTTCAGATGTTTCCAGCACTATAGCCGCTTCGTCCATACTTACAATCAACCCGGATAGCCTACTGCCAACTTCGCAGAGCACTTTGACTGAAAGTGCATTAAGCACCTCTGAGAGTGTCTTGCTGTCGTCTTCAAGTTCTACGGCTACGTCTACTATTAGCTCCACGGAATCTCCTTCTTCAGTTACAATTAGTATTTCGGTCACTGAATCAACTTCAGTGAGCTCGCAAGCAGGCTCTGAAGAAATTGCAACCACACCAACACTTTCCTCTGCTAGCATATCCACGAGTAGCTCTGAGTCCTTTTCTTTCACGGTCGATCCCGCAACTCTACTTTTAAGTTCGACAACTTCAAGCTCTTCAGAGAGTGGTTCCCTATCGCCATCGAGCTCTATCGCTAGTTCCAACGAATCTTCCGTATCCTCATCAACCAGCACTTATACTGTCATATCAACTTCTCCAACTACCCAATCAAGCTCAAATGAAGCCGCATCCGTAACATCTACATCCTCGTCCGTTACCACGTTTACGTCTCCATACTTATCTCCAACGATTGGACCCGCTAGTCTTGTCTCGACGTCCACTGAATCACCGACTACTGGTTTGACGTCTTCCCTTTCCTCGTCAATTTCGGGTCGAAGCTCTTCACCCGAACCCAGTTTCGAAAGCTCAATCGAGGCCTTGTCTAGCTTATCACTTTCCTCATCATCAACCTCGACCGGGCTGTCTCTATCTTCGAGCCCCCCATCAGTTGATCCAGCGAGTTTGGTTTCAAGTTCGGAATCATCTTCCTCGAGCTTATGGACATCCTCCGTCAGCTCAACCACCGGGATCACAATCACACTTTCAAGCACCAATTTACTCCCATATTCTGCATTTTTCACCACTACGTCATCCAGTGCGACAACCACTGCAGAATCCCCAACTTCTCTGTCACAGTCATCGTCAGCGAGCACTACAAGCACCTCTTCGTCAATATCTTTGTCGTCGTCGTCGACCTCTCCGACTGCGCCAGAAGTCGTTCCTTCGACCTCATCTGATTTGTCAGTTAGCTCGTCTACCTCTTTAGCATCTTCAAGCCCAACGGTCGATCAAGCAACGCCACTGCCTACTTCGGAGCCATCATCGATCAGCACGTCCATAGATCCAAACTCCCCGTCTTCGTCTTCGATCGCGCCGGATGCGACTTCTTCAAGCTCATCTGACTCAACGTCTATTTCAATTACTTCATCTACGTCTTTGAGTTCAGCAGCTGGTCAAGATACGTCGCTGCCTACATCAGAGTCTTCGTCGATGAGCACTTCGACCTTCTCCTCATCCTCATTAGCTTCCTCTGCGCGTTCATCTAGCTTCGCCTCTGAGCCTGCTACTACTCCACCTGTAACATATGTTTACACGACCATATTCCTCACAGCTTCAGACTCGCCAGACTCAACTATCATTGCTTCAATCGGACCGAGCGGTACTCAAGCTGGCACTATAGTCGTCGGAAGACGAGCACAATTTGTTACTGTCACTCGCCCATACAGTGGGACCAATACTCTGAGCGGCGGTGCAACTATTGTCAGCATCGTGCAACCGCAAGATGAACAGCCAGGAACAGTCTACGTTGAGACAACTCCAAATGCGGTACCCTTGACTTCCACTTCAACATCTACTGACCTCTCGCCGGGGTTGTCGAGCTCAATATTCTCAAGCTCTTCGACCTTCGAGCCATCCCTAAGTACATCGTTTACTGGCACCAGCACCACTTCTACAAGTACGACTGATACTGTCGAGCCGAATACCTTGCTGTCAAGCACGAGTGCCGCTTTGACGAGCTCGCCTTCTAGTTTAGACTTACCCCCGTCGTCCTCCACTTCTCAGCCATCGTCGACTTCTGCTAGCACTTCTGAGTCGACTAATAGTGTGTCTTCCATATCAGTTTCAAGCACACCTTCAAGTATCAGCTCAAGTAGCCCCTCAGGACCATCTTCCAGCATCTCCAGTATCATATCGTCAAGTACAGCTAACACAGCGGAAGATGATACCTTACTCCCGACCACGAATGTGTCCTCAACGAGGGCCTTATCTAGCTCAGAGCTCCTTTCATCAGGTTCAATGTTACTGTCCTCGTCTGAATCGACAGTAATGTCTTCGTCGACCTCAAGTATTGGCTCCAGCCAACTCTTTCAGAGCAGTTCGAGTGACCTTCCAAGTGCCTCTTCTACAGTTATTTCATCCACGTCGAGCCTGAGTGTCGATCCCGCATCTTTGTTGTCGACATCATTGACTCCATCGTCGTCATCAACAACAAGCACAACTGAATTGTCTAGTTCAAGCTCCGTCGATTCTTCCAACACTTTCGCGACCGCAAGCGTCGCAAGCACATCCTCGACTTCTACGGGCAGCTCCGCGTCGTCAAGTACCACAGTCAATCAGGCCACCTTACTGTCGGCCACCACTAGTGCTTCTTCGGCATCGACTTCAGGACCAACTAACAGCTCGACCGCATTCGTTTCTTCGGATTCTTCCAGCGCGAGTCAAACTTCAAGCTCATCAACTATAACGACTGTCTCGCCGACGCCCATGTCTTCAAGCATTACGGCTGACCAGGCTAGCTTGCTACCGACTACCTCAAGTGGTTCTTCAACGTCAACTTTAAGCTCAAGTACTTTGGATGTGACCTCGTCGTCGACTTCTCCCTCAAGTCTCTTCAGCACAAGTCAGGGCTTATCGGCGACCGCGAACATATCATCGACGCAGATTGCATCCAGCCTCTTGTTAAGCGATTCTTCCTCCACAACCCCGACCTCGAATGCTGCTACGTTGCTTTCGACATCAAGCAGCACCTCAGCGGGCCAGAGCTCAAGTTCCTCTAGCTCGATATTGGCTTCTTCCACATCGTCGATCAGTAGCCCTGTTTCCCAACCGACGTCGTCTTCAAGCGGCCTTTTCGGCAGCTTCTCGTCAACTGACTTATCGTCACCCATCCCATCATCTACTGGCTCTACTTCTTCCAGTGTGTCTGTCGACCCTGCCACATTGGTACCTACGGTTTCTAGCGCTTCGACGAGCAGCTCTCAAAGCACTTCGTCATCAGTAGGCATCTCTTCTAGTCCTGCTTCATCTGCATCTACGTCCAGCAGTATTTCAACGCCGCCCAGTAGCTCCTCGTCAATCACCTTAAGCACATCATCGTCAGCCAGCCAAACGACGAACGCCGCCACGCTGCTTCCCACAAGCAGTAGTACAACAGGGCCCTCTTCGAGCAGTTATAGTAGCAGTTCTTCTCCATCTTCTAGCTCTGCAGTCAGCTCAACCTTCACTTCCAGCGGTACTGCGTCGAGTAGTAGCTCGCTCAGCAGCTTTGCATCTGATAGTCCAACTGCCAACGCCGCCACACTGCTCCCGGCGACAAGCAGCGCAGCAGGGTCACCTTCAAGCACCTCGGCTAACAGCCCGTCGTTGTCCTCGAGTTCAACGTCCAATGTGGGCTCCACTTTCAGTAGTACGGTCCCCAGTACTACTTCCTCCATCAGCGCAACAGTCAATCCAGCTACGTTACTGTCACCGAGCACCAGTTCAACAGCGGCACCTTCGAGCAGCTCCGCAGTCAGCTCTTCACCCTCTTCCAGCTCGTCGGCAAGCTCATCTACAGTTAACCCTACTAGCAGTACTACAATTACGACTAGTAGTCTCCCTGGCACGTCTTCTTCTCCTTCTTTGTCTTCTTCATCAAGCCCAACAGTCAATGCAGCCACGCTCCTGTCAACGACCAGCAGCGCTTCTACGAGCAGTCTTTCAACAGTCTCATCTTCATCTTCCAGGGCAACAACAAGCTCCTCACCAAGTGCAACGAGTAGCTCTTCTGTAGGAACTACATTGTCCTCGTCTACTTTATCGAGTCCGACATTTAACGCGGCTACTTTGATATCCACCTCCACTATTGGGACTCTGACGAGCAGTGTTTCCGTCATCAGCTCGTCGTCAAGTGCCACAGCAAGCTTCTTAAGCTCAGCTCCTAACAGCAACATCCCTTCTACGGATACGAGCAGGTTCTCGAGCAGCTTATCAACAGGCACTTCGTCTTCTTCAAGCCCGACAGTTGAAGCGGCCTCATTGGTGTCCACTACTAGCAGTGCGTCTACAAGCAGTAGCTCATCCACCAGCTCAACATCTCCCACCTCTGCCAGCTCTTCGATCTCGGTATCCACTAGCAGTGGCACTACTACCACCCCATCATCTAGTGGCTCTGCTCTCAGCTCGTCTCCCACTTCTTCGAGTGTGACGGTCAACGCAGCCACCCTGTTATCTACAATAAGCTCCATAACGAGCACCTCGACAAGCACCTCGACGACCAGAAGCTCGATATTCAGCACGACATCTCTGAGTAGCACTTCAAGCAGCTCTTCGAGTGGTTCTCCGAGTAGCTCTACTGCTTCACCCACGGCGAACCAAGCAAGCCTGCTTTCCACATCCAGCAGTGCCACTACTAGCAGTTCTGCCACCAGCTCTACTGCCAGTATTTTCACTACCAGCAGTATATCCCGTACCTCTGCGTATTCATCTACAAGTGTCACAATCAACCCCGCGGCTCTGGTTCCCACAACAAGTAGTACAGGCAGCAGCAGCAATAGCGTGACGAGTAGCAGTTCTTCCACGAGTAGTAGTAATAGCTCGAGCAGCATCCCTTCAAGCACCTCATCCTCGAGTGTCACTGTCAACGCCGCGAGCTTGGCGTCAACTACAAGTTCATCAACATCAACCACGAGGATATCAACGTCGTCTTCACTCCCTTCGAGCTCTGGTAGCTCTTCCTCGAGCACAACCGTAACCTCGTCATCTTCTACATCGTCTATAAGCTCTTCCTCGAGCTCCTCTTCAAGCTCCTCCGCCAGCGCTGCGCTCAACACATTGCTGGGTTCGTCGAGCGCCTCCACGTTCTCGACCTTGACAAGATCGTCGTCTTCTTCGACGACTTCACCTACGTCCAGCAGCGTCAGTGTCCAGGCAAACACGCTGGCGTCAACTAGCTCGAGCCCAAGCAGCACATCCACATCGGCAACCACGACAAGCACACTTGGCTCGACTTCATCGTCCACTGTGCTGAGCTCATCCTCCTCCTCACGGACTAGTACGACGTCGACATCGTCTTCAAGCTCGACTTTCAGCTCAAGTTCAAGCTCAAGCTCGACTTCATCTTCATCCCGCACAACCACTTCAACAAGCAGCTCTTCCAGCTCGAGCAGCAGTAGCACAAGCACTTCCTCGACCTCTTCCAGAGTTGTCGCCTCAGCCACACAAGGCCCCGCATTCTCATGTCCTACTACGGGCTTCCTGATTCAGTCCCTGACCCTGTTTTCACTGAACTTGGCTACTGGAGAGCGAACCCAAATCGCCGACAACATAGGTGGAGACTCAACGCGCAACATCAACGCCTTGGGCTATAATGCAAGAGAGGACTACCTCTATGGTATTTCCCAGAACGAGGCCGCCACCGACTTCAAGATCATTCGCATCCTGGCCAACGGCACGGGTACGTATGTCGCTACGGTCAGCAAGCTCACAACCGGCCTGTTCAACTCGGGCGACATCGACGAGAACGGCCAGTATTGGATCTCCACTGGTGGTGCCGACTTCTATCAGTACAACTTCGCTCCTGGCACCACAAATTACGGAGGTCTCGTCACTAGTGGCAAGCTCACCGGTACCGGCGGTTACACAATCGGTGACTGGACTGTCGTTCCTGGCGTCGGAGGCGGAGATCTATGGTCCGTCGGCGTGAGCAATCAAGTTGCTTACTTGTTGCGCTGGAGCCGGACTACCCACGCATTCACAGTGGTTCGCAACTTGGGCAACCTCACAGGAGCAACTGGGACTACGGTGCCTTTCTGGGGTGCGAGCTACGCAACCACAGATGGCTACCTTTTCGCGGTGGAAAACGGCAGTGGGCAGATTTGGCGTATTGCTGTTGATGGGTCTTCAAACCCTCTGAGGTTGAAGGATGCACCAGTCAGCAGTCGAAACGATGGTGCCAGATGTCTGGATTCCGGTGCCATTGTTGTTAGTGGCTAAGCGTGGCCTGATGTGTCCCTGGGTCGTTTATTCCTTCTTTATTTTTGAGATGCCTTCTGAAATACTTAAGCTAAAATCGTGTCAGCGTTTATTTGTTTCTCCGGGGTTAGTAAAAAATGGTAATTCTTAAAGACGAATCAAAATACCGAGTTAATAAATAATGTTAAATCTGTTGAACGAACTGTCTCAGATCAGACTGCTCAAGACTACCAGCTCCTAAGAGTCGATTTGTGCTATCTTGAAGGCTCCGTTGCCGCAGCGCATCCAATGGTATAGATGAGACCTTGTTGCCGGCAGAAAAAGCTGAAGCAACCAAGCCACCTGTAGTTACACAACGTGCCGAATTGAGCTAGCTGGCTCCCAGAAGCCAAAATGGCATCGACGTTTCCCAGCCGTGGCGAAGACTAAGCTGTTTCACTTAGAGGCCCTAGGCCGGTGCTAGCAGGAGGCAAATAGGGATCATTCACTGCCAGGCGTCATCTCCTTGCACATATACTTATTTGTATACGCACGAAAGGGTATCTCAGGACGGACGGTTCCTGTGATGAAGTAAAATGACTACATGTAATGTGAGGGCCCAAATTGGTGTGGCTAGCCGCAACCCCGGCATATACTTTTTGACTCAAAATACTGGTTGTTCAGAGTAACGAGTCGACGAGTTAGCCCTTTAACATGGGCTCTCAAAAATGGACGTCCAAGGGAGGGCTTTCATAAAGAAGGTCTAGCTCCAAGGTTTACGGCTGTAGGATGGGCAAGCAACCTGCGTTGTCGCGAGCCACAGTGATCAGTGCAAAGGGCTGCGTACAAGCTGCAAGTAATTAATCCCCAGATTCGCCATCCCGCATGGCTGATATAGACTTTAGGGTCATATCACAGACCAACGTCAGTTATTAAGCTTCAACTTGGTTGTGGTGGCCTTGAAGTTTCCCAAAGTTCCACCGAGTCAAGACCCATGCTAATTTTGGCACCGATTTGGCACTAGATAATCGTATTCTATCAGTAGTTACTCATCACAGGGATCGCAAGGGATCCCAGCCCGCCTTAAATTGCTTAAAATGCATCCCCAAGCCAACTAAAACTTGTGAAAAATGACGCTTTACGCTGTAAATCAGGCTTGGCTAAACATCCACGGTCGCTACGAACTCTGACGTCGCTGGTTCCGCACAACAACTTGATTTTTTCTCTGCCCTCCCCCATCCTCAGTATTCTGGCCCATTGGGTAAGAGTCAGTCATACCAACAAAAAATTATATCACACCGGGGTCACCGGATGTCACGCCATATATAGCATTGTTTGCCTACGCCCTCTCCACTGCGAAAATCGCCAAGATGCCAAAAGAGGAGGAAAAAAAGGGGGTTCGCCGTTCAAATTGGGTAGGACCCGGAGGAGACTTACATGGGGTCTCCACCGCGGATTGACCGTTACACTGCCGCAAGCCGAGGCTCGGGACGAGAGAATGAAGAACTACATAGTCGGCGGGGGCTCCTCGCTGGTTTTTTCGGTTTCCATTTCGTCTCTTCAGTGCCGTCGCTGAGAGCATTCACATTCGTTTTCGACATTCGTTCTTTTTGCTGATTCTGGAGTCAAGATGAGCGCTGTCACCAAGTTTGGGTTCGAGTTCCAGACTGCCACTATCAATGGCGTCGAGTACAACTACATCCACGCCGAGCCTGCGGGCAAGGTGGTAGGGACAATCTTCCTCATCCACGGGTGGCCCGATATGTCCCTGGGATGGCGCAACCAGATTCCTTACCTCCTGTCCAAGGGCCTCCGGGTCATTGCTCCTGACATGATGGGTTACGGAGGCACTGATGCTCCCGCCGACGTCAACTACTAGTAAGTCTCTTACACCCAGTACCTCACCTCAACGAGGAAAGCTTGGCGAAGACTAACCGACCCAACCAGCACATTCAAGCGCGCCTCAGATGACATTGCTGCTCTCGCCAGCCACCTCGGCCTCTCGCGCATCATCCTGGGCGGCCACGACTGGGGCGGAGCGGTCGTCTACCGCGCAGCCCTCTGGCACCCGGAGCTGATCTCGGCCTTCTTCGTCATCAGCACCCCCTTTGCGCCGCCCCGTCTGGCCTACGTCGACCAGGCCACCGCGCTACCCACGCTGCACTACCAGCTGCAGTTCCGCACCGACGCCGTCCAGGACTACATTGGCCTCGGCGACGTCCAAAACGCCACCCGCGTCCGCCAGATCCTCAACACAATCTACGGCGTCAAGCTGCCCAGCGGTGCATCAGCCTTCAACTCCAGCGGCGCCGGGTTCGACTTTGACCTTCTCGACGGCGTAACGACGGACACGCCGCTGTTGAGCGAGGAGGAGCTCGACTACTACGTGGAGAACTACGCCGGTAGTGATCCCTTTAACAGGACGCTCAACTGGTACCGTACCGGCGAGCTCAACTGGCAGGACGAGCTTGCGCTCATCCCTAGCAACGCTACGGCGTACACGGCCAAGTACTCGCAACCTGCGCTGTACATCGGCGGTTCGCTCGACTCGGCGCTGCCTCCCATCTTGTCGACCGGTATGGAGACGTACTTCGACAGCTTGTCAAGAGGCGAGGTGAATGGTACGCATTGGGTCATGTGGGAGAAGCCCGAGGATGTGAACGGTTATGTTGGCAACTGGCTGAGCAGCTCAGTATTGGGCAACCTGAGTCTCGGTGTCAATGTCACGGCTGGAAGCGCTCTGGCTTTGCTGTGATCGGTGACATGTCGGCGGAGGAGGGTCTTGCCTGGGAGTCGCATGGCAAGGACAACGATGCGTATGACTATGAAAATCAGTATATAATAGAAGCATATTACCATTGTACAAACGAGTTTCCAGAACATGCCGCTGTGATGGTTGAACGCAATCAATCGATCGATTTCATGCCCTGAAGTCGTCAACACTGCAAGGAAAAGTATAGTGGGGTGAGGGATGTGCGATGATGCAGCTGCAGGAAGGGACCATCCGTTCACTGCAGCCCGGGCAGGGCCTGGAACTGGACGCTGGCAGCGCTACCTAGGTACATGCCTAGGTACCTTAGTTGAACCCCACCGGAGCCACTGGCGCCGACCTCCGACTCCACTCAAAATTTCCAGCTCTCACTTCATCCCACCTCAGACAAGTCCGAGGCCATCCTCCAGATCGTTTGCCCTTCAATTGAGAGGATTCTCTGCTTTCCCGTTGTTCCGAAAGATAATACGACAATGGCTACCTCTAAGGGCCTTCCTCGCGATACATTCGCCAAGCTCTCCCCTCATCCCTTCCTCCTCGCAAACCTCCAGCCTCCCGCGCCCGCCAACGCTGCCAGAAGCAACGGCCGCGCACCCAACGAAGCCCGAATTCCCAATGTCAACACTTCCAGCTTGACCCATGCCAATGGAAGCGCCGTTGTGCGGACGGGTGATACAACTGTCATCTGCGGTGTTCGCGCCGAAACACTTCTCGCCTCCGACATCCCCAACTTCCGCACCGCTGCGAATCTCGACGATGAAAACGGCAAGCCCAGCTCGGAGCTGAAGGACTACGACTTGCTCGTGCCCAACATCGAGCTCGCCACCGGCTGCGCACCGCAGTTCCTCCCCGGCGTACCTCCCACAACACTGGCACAGACCCTGAGCACGAGAGTTTATTCACTGCTGCATTCCTCCAACCTCGTCGACCCGGAGGACCTGAGAATATGGTACACCCGCCCTGCCGAGAAGGCCGAGATGGAGGGCGATGATGGAGACGACAAGATGGATGAGGACGAGGACGAAGTGAAATCTGAGGGTGAAAGGGTTGTCATGGCATACTGGGTTTTGTACATCGACATCTTCTTCATCTCGTTCGATGGTAACCCCTTCGACATTGCCTGGGCTGCTATCCTGGCCGCCCTTCGCGACACAACGATACCCATCGCACGCTGGGACGCAGACCGCGAGATGGTCGTCTGCTCCCGAGAGAGCCCCAAGCCCCTGACGTTGCACGGCTTCCCTATCGCCTGTACAGCTGGCGTCTTCACAGGCAAAGAGACGACGGATCGGCCTGCTGCCGGCAAGTTCTGGACTCTGGTCGACCCGGACAGGTTGGAGGAGAGTCTATGTGATGAAGAGGTAACAGCAGTGGTGGACCGAAGCGAGGGAGAGACGAAGGTATTGGCGATATCAAAGCATGGAGGAACCGTACTGCAGCCGCAGCTCATACGGGAGTTTGTAGGCGTTGCAGAGCGGAGATGGGAGCAGTTTTACAAGGCCATGGCATGAAGATAATGATACCCACCAAAAGGAAGACATGAAAATCCAAGACGTTTGGGGAAAGGAAGCCGGTTCCTCTTATGTATCCTCAGGTTGTGCTCTACCCGGCCAAAGACTGCAACCGATCCCCCCCTATCGTGAGCTTTGATGACCCCGCCGCCTTTCACCCATCAGCCGCCTTTGGTGCGGTCCGGGTGAAGATGAAAGCGCATACCTACTTGAGCCCCTCAACTTCCATTATCTTTTCTCTGACATGATCTTCTGAAGCTGCTAAGCCTCTCTCTTCACATCACCTTAAAAAATCAGCATCACTTGAGGGGGGAAAATAATCATCACCACTTTCTGGAAATTTTGCTTCAGACACACCAAGCATCATCATCCAGCAATGGCCAATCTTCATTCTCGAATCCAGGAGGCCTCGAAGGAGGAACTCGTCCAGATCCTCAAGGCTGTCTGCAGCTTCACCGACACCCACTACCACGTCAAGAGCGTCCTCGACTACCTCGACGACAAGAAGCAGTCGGAGGCCGCCGCCGCCGCCAAGCGTCGCCTGTCTACCCGCGCCTCCTTGTCCAACAAGAGCTGGGCCCAGCCGCTCCCCAAGACTGTGAAGCGCAACATCAAGATGTGCGAGCTGTGCGAGCTGCCCTTCGTCGAGAAGGAGAACACCAACGAGTCTTGCCTGTCTCACTATGGTAAGTTGCGATCCATCCGAGACGTTCCCTGTTCAATGTGGAGTGAAAGTATGCTTACGAACTGCGTTCGACGCAACAGGCAAGTGGCTTCTCGAGTGCGAGAATGAACACGAGGTCTGGTTCGCGGATCTTGACAAGGCCGGCGAGGAGTTCACTTCCAACAAGGAGGCCATGTGCATCGTCGACTGCTGCAACAGCCAGCGTGGCGCCAGCAAGGGTTGCGTCAAGGCCAAGCATGTCGCCTTGGTCCCTGATGTCGACACCAGCGAGGACTCTTCTGACAACTAAAGGGTTCACCGACAACACGATTACGAGACATGATTATGATACCACAAGGGCATTACAATTTGGGGGTATAGGTCTGCTTGATTTTACAGAGTCGTCGGTACCTGAATAAGGTGTCGCAGAGTGCGCCAGGAATTGTTACGAGGCATCAGAATAGGTCAAAACGGGTTTTCACTAGCAGACAGGAAACAATCATTAGGGATTGACAGTAGTCTGGTTTACTTGTTTCGGTTCATAGAATCAACTTAGCAAAGAAAACAGAGCTTCGTCATCTCCCACAAGGATCGAGCCAAAGTCTGCGAAACACGGAACACACAATGAGCGTGCCGCGGTGAAGATATGTATTCCACAATTCGAGCCACCTTTTCAGACTTTATTCCAAGGCAGTAGATACTAGGGAAATTCCTTCTACCGCCCGGCGCCGAGGAAGCCTAATGAAAGGCCCTCATGAGCCGCGAATTAACTGAATGTTGACTCGCGGCTTGGTTACCGAGCGGATGATGAAGGAAGGAAGAAACCAGAGAAAGTCGCGCTTTCCTCGCGATGAAAATTTAGGCGAGCCAGCTACAGTGCCGAAATACAGTGCCCGCTGTGGCTTTCACACACTTCAGCCTCCGTTTTCCAGAGTTCCCCACCATGGAGCCCCATCGTCAATCTTCCTGGTTCCAACCTCAGCTCTCGACTTCCACGCAAATTTTCCCTCCTTGCTCTTCTTTCGACCTCACACTTTCCAACACCATGGAATCGCTGGCCGAGCAGACGTGGGATGTCATACTCCACGGCACTGGCCTGCAGCAGTCGCTGCTAGCCTTGTAAGCTCTCTCTTCCTGGCCTCTCTTTTTCTTTTCCCAGCCCAACTCGTAGTCGTCTTTCGGCATCGTTGTTTCTTGAAAAAGCCTCGATCTGACTGACGCAGTCTCGTCTGGCCGTGAAGAGCCCTCTCGCGGTCAGGAAAGCAAATTCTGCACCTCGATCCCAACGAGTACTATGGCGGCCCCGAAGCCGCCTTCAGTTTGCAAGAGATAGAAGAGTGGGCGACTGCGAACGCTGCTCCCGCCGACGATGTCGCCGGATCACCGCGCGTCTTCTCGTCAGTGACGGTGAGCAAGCCCGAGGTAGCAACGGGTTCCGGACCTTCACTCTCTTTCCCGAGAGCCTACTCTCTCGCTCTCGCGCCGCAGATCATACACACCCGCTCAGAGCTGGTGAAGCAACTCGTATCGTCGCGCGCGTTCCGACAGATCGAGTTTCTCGCCGTTGGGTCCTTCTTCATCTACACCCCACCAGCTACCGGTAGCGGGATCGAAGCCGGAAAACCGAGCCTTGTGCCGATCCCCTCAACCCGCGAAGCCGTCTTCTCCACAACTGCTATCCCCGGAAGGGCGAAGCGGTCGCTGATGAAGTTCCTCAAGTTCGTCTTCGACTACAACTCGGAAGACAACAAGGGTATATGGGCTCCACATGCCGACAAGCCTCTGTCGGAGTTCCTGTCGTCGGACTTCAAGCTGGACACCGCTCTGCAGACCTACGTCGTCACGCTTACCTTGAGTCTGGACGGCAAGGTCACAACCACGGACGGCTTGGCCGCTATCCACAGGCACCTCTCCTCCATGGGCGCCTTCGGGCCAGGCTTCGCTGCTGTGTACCCCAAATGGGGCGGTCTCTCTGAGATCGCGCAAGTCGGTTGCCGCGCTTGCGCCGTCGGCGGCGCAGTCTACATGCTAGGCACAGGCACGAAAGCTACGCGCCAGCTCGACGAAGCCCGGGAAGATTGCGCTTGCTTCGAGGTCGACTTAACCAGCGACGTCACGGTGAAATCCCGGATGTTCGTTCGCGGCGCTGAGGGGATTGCCTCCGGCGGCCAGCGCGTGAGCAGGTTGACTGCAGTCATCAACTCGCCGCTCTCGTCTTTGTTCGAGGCTGTTGGCGAAGGATCGCCTACACCAGCTGTAGCAGTCATTGCATTCCCGGCCAACTCCATCGCCGATGTTGCATCAGCATTCCCCATTTACGTCTTTGCTCATTCGAGCGAGACTGGGGAGTGTCCAACCGGACAGAGTAAGTTCAAACATCCCCCTACTTCTCCCTTTTTGAAGCCCTCCATCGTACACATGATGATTTCAGAAAAAAACTTATCTACATTGCCTGAGCTTTTGCTTTGACGTAAACTTCTGTGGAACTGATTGTACACATTTCCATCACACTTTGACCTGCAACTACCTCGTATTGTTTTGTCACACGACTAACAGGGTCACTGTTTAGGCGTTCTCTACTTTGTCACTCCAATGACACCAACCTCAGCCGAAGCCTTGGAAAAGGCTTTGGCTTCGTTGCTTTCTGCCCTCGGCGATGGCGAACACAAGCCACAGGCGATCTACAAGGTCGCATACCAACAGGCACACGCGGCTGCGTCAAGTTCCGCAGATGCATCAGACGTCCTTCCCAGCCTGCCGCTCGATCTTGCCTTCAGCGACACGGCTCTGGAGCCGGTCAAGGATGCCTG